TAATATTTAATAAATAAACATTCTGTTTTATATAAATAAATAATATATAATATATAATATTCTGCTTTAAATAAATATTCTGTTTTAAATAATAAATATTCTGTTTTAAATAAATAATATATAATATAAATCTGTTTTATAATATTCTGTTTATAATATGTTTATAATATATGTTTTAAATCTGTTTATAATATAAATCTGAATATATTTTATATTATCTGTTCTAATATCTTAATTAAAATCTGTTTGATAAATATGTTTTATAATATATATATATATATATATATATATATATATATATATATATATATATATATATATATATATATATATATATATATATATATATATATATATATATATATATATATATATATATATATATATATATATATATATATATATATATATATATATATATATATATATATATATATATATATATATATATATATATATATATATATATATATATATATAATACTAATATTTTAATTAAAATCTATTTATAATATAAATATTAAAATCTGTTTTATAATTAAATATATATATATATATATATATATATATATATATATATATATATATATATATATATATATATATATATATATATATATATATATATATATATATATATATATATATATATATATATATATATATATATATATATATATATATATATATATATATATATATATATGTATGTTATATTCAGAAAAATATATATAATTTTCAACAGCCACCAACACAGATAATTTATTTCATAAAAATATCCATAAATATGTTATGTTAAAATTTATTTTATCAACCGCCACCAACACACATAATTTTCGAAATAAATATTCATATAAAATTTTAAGAAAAAACAAAAGTGTGTACCTTTTGATCTTCTTCCAAATTCCTAGCTGCTCTTAACAAAAATTTGATAGCTTATATTATCCACCGTACATGCAACACAACAAATAAAAAAAAAATTAATTAACAAATCTAAACAATAAAATAAACTATAAATACGAAAATAATATAAATAAATAAAATAACTTACTTTTATCAAATGGAATAAAAACGTTGGAACATGAAGGAGGAAGAAGAAGAATAGGGAAGAAAAACTTTGAAAAAGAAATGGAAAAGAAGAAGATTGTGGGAGAAATGGAAAAGAAGAAGATTGTGGGAGAAATGGAGAAGAAAGAAGGGAATAAACGTATAAATGTGTGGGCTGTTACAGTGTGAAATAAATTTGGAATTTAATATTTTATTTTGCGAGGGACCCCTCCACGCAGGGTATCAGTAAGCATTTTGCGAGGGGCTTCCCCTAGCCACCTTTCACGTGTGGCAGACCATTTTGCAGAGAAATGCAGAGGAATAAATGCTTTTTCAGTGGGATTTGACTAAAGTAGGACAAGTGGTGAGGGGATGCCCCTCGCAAATTGTGAACGTGACGTGGTGAGGGGCTACCCCCTCGCAAATTGTGCAGCTTTTCCATCAAAAACTGCGCTGAACCCTAGTAAAAGTATATTTCAAAATTCAAAAAATTTTCCCTCCTTCATTGCGAGGGGTATCCCCTAGCTAAATGTTTATATTTTTTCTCTCTCCTATTTTTCATTTTGCGAGGGGTTTAACCCCAAGCAAATGGTTTTATTTTAGTGAGGGGTTTTCCCCCTAGCCCATGCCCCTAGCTAATTCAATGTTTTCTTGTAGTGCGTACAAGTAATAATCGTACAATAGAACTGGACTGTTTTATCTTGGAGGCGGGATTTTAGTTTAATTTATTTGCATAATTTTGGACAGTGCCGCAAAATGTCTTAAAGAGAGTGACCTAGTTCGCGACTCGAATAATAATTTCTTTTGTGGCTGATTTTCAAAATCGCAAAACAACAATTTTAGAATGTTTCTAAAACTGTTATAGCTACCGAAAAAATTATTGAACCGTTCACGTTTAAGGGTAGTCATTTCAAACTCTGGCAACAAATGAAGCACTTTTTATTAACATTGAAAAAGGTTGTCAACATTTAACCGAGGACATTCATATTTCTCCTTCTGAATCAGTTGAACAAACTAACGGTAAGAAACCTACAAATTCAAATGGAATTGTTGGAACTAAATCTGTTGCATAGATTAATGAAGTTAATTTACAACTCGGGAAAGAAATCACTATATGGCAAGAGAATGATTATCTCTATAAAAACCACATTTAGAACGGTCTTGCTGGTGATATTTATGATTATTACTGTAATTGTAAGACCACAAAATATGTCTGGGAAGCTCTGGAAAAATAAATATGATACTAAAGAAGCTGAAACAAAGAAGTATGTTGTTAGCCGCTACCTTAAATATAGATGATAGACAAAAGATCCATGGAAGCTTAATGCCACGAACTTTAGAACTTCTCAAGAAATCGTTATTGAAGGCATGCCTCTAAATGAACAATTATGTATTGTTGTTATCTATGACAAACTGCCTCCTGATTAGAAAGATTTTAAAAACTTGTTATGCGATAAAAAAAAATTTCAATTGAAAGTTTAATTACTCGCGTCCGAATTAAAGAAGAATCTCAGAGACAATATCAGAAAGATAGAATTTTGTAGAGGTGGCAATAGAATCCATTAAGATAAAATTCATCCAATCCATCCGTCAAAAAATTCATCCAATTCATCCACCACATAAAAAATAAGTTAATGGATTGGATTAAACCCATCTATTTATATGCATGGATGAATTCAATCCATCCAACATATTTTAAGAATCCAATGGATTATTTTTATTTTTGTTATATTATTTTTTTAAAAATAATTAAAAATATATTTTTTAAAATCTAATTAAAAATAAATTTTTTTAAAGAAAAAAATTGTTTTTTTTTCAATAAAAAAATTGTAATTTTTCAAAAAAAAAAATCAGTTTTTTTTTGTGAAAAATCGATTTTTTTTTCCAAAATAAAAAACTGATTTGTTTTTCGAAAAAAAATCGATTTTTAAAGAAAAAAACAATTTTTTTTTGAAACAAAAAACCAATTTTTTTATTAAAAAAAAGATTTCCCGAAAAAAATACCGACTTTTTTAAAATACAAAAAACTGACTTCATAATTTTTTTTTTAAATACAAAAAATAAATTTTTCAAAAATAAAATAAAATCGAATTTTAAAAATAAAAAAATTTATTTATTCTTACAAAATAAAAAGAAAGTTAGATGGATGGATATCCATCCATTAAAAATATGTTAATGGATGGATTGGATTGGATAATTTTAAGAAAATTTTAGTGGATTGTTAATGGACTAATGGATTGTTTTAATCCATCCATTAACAATCCAATCCAAATCCATCCATTTTGCCACCCCTAGAGTTTTGGTTGTTTCGAACACAAAAATATATTTTGTGCGATTTTGAAGTCAACCGACAAACCACTTAAGAATCAGAACCACAATGTTGTGAGCCGAATTAAGAACCCTTGTAGGGCCCCAGATGCTCTAATTGCTAGGCAGAATCCACCATCTAAAAGAAGAAGAATAGAATTGGACAAATTGTTTTCTATTCACTTACTCAATTAGGATATAGATGATTACAAGTGAATAACAACAATTGGCCTCTCTCAACAACATGAGAGAACTAGCCTATTTATAGGCTACTAAGCTAACTTAAACAACAAGCTAACCTAAACAATTGGATTCAAATAAACAAGACTAAATTCAACATTACATATACTAGAACTAACTTCGACTACATTATGTAGCAATTCGACGTTAGAATGTGAACCAGTTTTGACTTTATGTTTGTCTCCTGTCAAATCATTAAAAAACTTTCCCTACTGATAACATCCCAATCGACAGCAAAGGAATTCGACAATATTTTTTGCATTCTTCCTTATATAATTGAAGCTTCAAAGTATAATTTTTAGGGTGGTTATTTTGAAAATTAGAGATAGACTTTTGCTAGCAAACATGGCTTTTCCAAGATTGGTCTAAGTTAGTGTTTACCAATTGACAGTTTTTTTAAATAATCTTAGTATACTGAATTAAGGAAAAATATAATCCTCTTCGTTACCAAGTGATAAAAACTTTGATTCAGGTTACAGTAATTGTGGTTACGGAAGTGGTGAACAGATAAGCAAATGCATCTATCAAAAGTAATAGCAATGAAAGGTTTTAAAAGACAATAAGTTAGACTCTAAAAAGAAAAAAAGCTGCCACAAAACCGTATCATAAAGTGTCAGATACCAGTATTCACAATTTTAATCCAAATAGGAAAGTACAAATCACAAAAACTATTTTTTATGATTATTATAAAATTCTGAACTAAAGTTTAGTTTATGGTAAAAATGAAATCAAACTTTATTGTGCAATATTACGAATAATTCACACCGCGACGATCGGAATCTATAACGCTAACACCTGTACCAGTCTAAGTTATGAAAGTCTTTACACGACTGCAACGCTCACCATAACTATTATTGATAGCAAGTGATATTGGCATTTATAGCAAGTGCAACACATTCCTAGACCAATTAATATAATATGAAATATTTTATAATGTATGGTTGAGATATCCAATCCAGGGGCCTATTCTAAAACCAGATTTAGAGATATATCATCATCATCATCCATTGTTAAAATGCACATTATTTTGCTCTTAAGGTAGAACAACTATCAAAGATAGAAGAAAGGTTATAATTAAGAATCATAAAAAGGTTGAAGAAATGCACATGGTTAGAGACTAATTTGCTGCAATGAACTTACACAATCACATTTACTTGTTGAAATGATAAACCCTTCTTCACTACTTCCACCTAACTTTGAATTTCAACAAAATCCAAGAGAAATATCAAAATATTAATATACTTCTTCTTTCTTGCAATACAAACATTCACCAAATTAATAAAATAAAATAAAAACTATTTTACTTGCAAGTTTTAGCTTCCTTTCAAACTCCTAGTCCTATAAATTATGATAACAATTAACAACCAATGCAAAATTCAAACACTTCATATTTTCTTTCAGTAACCATGAAATGTCTATCAATTGCATTCGCTGTTCTCGTGCTTCTCGTCCTCGTTACGTCAAACTCAGAGGCTGCAATCTCATGCAGTGATGTGATTAAGGACTTGAAACCTTGTGTGAGCTACTTGGTTAGTGGAAGTGGACAACCACCAAGTGCATGTTGCACCGGAGCTAAATCTCTTGCTTCGGCTGTATCAACATCAGAGGATAAAACAGCTGCTTGCAACTGCATCAAATCTACTGCCAAGAGTTTCAATATCAACTCACAGTTGGCTAAGTCTCTTCCAGGAAACTGTGGAATAAACATTCCAATCAGTATCTCCCCAGATGCAGATTGTTCCAAGTAAAAAATCATAAACTAAATGCTTCACAAATATATTTTTCTTTATGCTATTTCATCGTAATAAATATGATTGAAGAAAGTCCGCAAATCCTAGTTCATCTGATAAAAAACCGATATTATTAAGCTGGACGTTAACACTAGGGTTTAATTTCTAACATTTAATTATTGCTTGAAATAACTGAATTCTAAACCCTAAACCCTACTTGATAATTTTACTATCTTTTACTAATGTTTTGTTGCTGCACTTTTTTGTAGGATTGGTTAATTGTGACTTGGAAGTGAGAATTGGAGGGTTATGCTGACAATTTTCTGCTACTATATATGCGTATGGGAATATTACATATTTTGTAATAAATAGGAATCTACCTATGTGGATTTCTGTGTTGTGTTTTTTCAATTAGTTGTTTGAATATTGTTCCCATTTTAACTTAATTGTTGAGCCACTTATGGCCTGTTTCAATTTCATAAATGTTTGTTATTTTGCTATGATATAGCTTTATCTATATGAAGAATAATGTCATTCACTTAGTCAAATTTTTTTTTATTATTTACCTATGTTCTTTAGAGAGACCCTAATATAAACCTGTCTAAAGGGCCTCGTTAATTTTCTAAAATCACCTATCAAAATTTTAAGTATCAAATGACAAACCATGAAATAACTGGTTTTACAAAAGCGCACACAAATTATCGATCATTGAGTAGTTGAAAATCATTAAAAATAAGCCTATGGTATAGAAAACATCACAAATAAATATTCAATAAAAATAAGCCTATAAAAAACATCACAAATAAATATTCAATTTCATAGGCCAGATAGAAACATTTAGCATATATTGACATAATAAGCATTGAAATTGTTGGAAATTCAACCACAATCTATGGAGAATTTAACTCAATCAATCTTGATCTCAAGATTGTTTCAACTTACGTAATGACAATGAAAGAAAAACTAAGAAAGAAAAAAAGTAAATGTTGAAGAAGAAGAAGATGAACAATTTTCTGCAGAGAACTCTATGCCTACAAACGGTAGAAATTCTGTTATTTCACTTACAACTGCAAACTGTGAATTACAAAATATGATGAGATGAGATGAGATGTCTACAAAATAAAGATTTCTTCGATCTCCTTCTTGCAACTTTCTGTTATCAATAGATCATCGACATAGAGACATAATATAAGCAGTTCACTACTGCTTCTTCTTACGTACATTCCATGCTCAGTTGTACACTTCACAAATTCCTTCTCCCTTAAAAAGCTGATTATTTTTCTTATTCCAAGCTCTTGGAGCTTGCTTAAGTCCATACAAGGTTTTATGCAGCTTGTACACCTTTCTTTCTTCGCCTCGTTTCACAAACCCAGCTGGTTGTGCAACATACACTTCTTCGTCTATGGGGCCATTAAGGAATGCACATTTCACGTTCATCTGACATGTGTGTCAATTGTTCATATTTGCTAGACCAACAACCAATCTAATTGTTTCAATCCTAGCAACAGGTGCAAAAACTTTGTCGAAGTTGATTCTGAAGATGTGAGAAATACACAAGAAAGGGGGGTTTGAATTGGGTATTTACTCTCTTAAAACTTTTTCTTATTTTCCTCTTGTTACTTTCCTTCTTCTTCACTTGTTGCTTCTAGAGATTGCATTGCGGAAGCATAAATAATAAAGCACAACACAAGTAAAGAACACATGATATATCTTGGTTCACTTGAGCAACTCTCAAGCTAATCCAGTCCACCCTTCCAAAGTGATTTCGCATCTCTCAAGAAAGGACTTAATCCACTATAACCAAACTGATTACAGTTGCACAAGCTAACTGCAAGTGACTAACAAATGAACAATGACACGTTCAAGGATCCAACTGGATATAACATTCATTGACACAAATGACTACTGTCACTTGTCATCTCAAGTATTCTGATCTTCACAAGATCACTTGAGGAACCACTTAATTCTAAAATGAATTTGTGTTGCCGGAGATTACATGAGTGCTTCTTAATAAGCAGATTACTCCTAATTAAGTACCTAGCAAGTATTGAGCAACAGCTCCTTACTTTCTAATATAGAAACTAATCTAAAGATAAATCTCTAAGAGATTATAAGAACATTAGTTTCCATATTGCTTTGATTTCTGGCTTATTGCATCTTTAATGCATATTTGCTCAGCTGACTTTCTAACATGTTCTCCAACAATCTAACAACATGCTGACAACATGCTAACCACATACTCACATTTGAATGTCTCAAATGTTCTTCTTTTATATTGCTTCCAAAGGAGTCGTTGGGAGGATAAAGATGTCCAAACAGTATTCCAACGGTCATATCTCAACGGGTAGATAAGCACGTGTTGGGTAGCTTTCTTTGTCCTTTTCTTCCAACGTTAATATTTCATATAACAGCTTGGACAGATCAACTTCTGGCTTGTTCTTCTGATGATGTATCTAATGAGTAGTTCAGCAACTACTTTGGTATGAAAGCTTCAGCATCAGAGTTGTTTAAGCACATATTTATCAGATTTAATGGCAGCAGCTTATTTGATGAGTAATACGCCTCTGTCTGGGTGAATCTTCTTCTGACACAATCTTCAACTTCAGAATCCAGTCTTCAGCATTCCAAGATTTAAGTTTCCTCTGAAACAGTCTTGAGAATCTTCGTGACTGATTCTTCAGAAATCATGTCTTCAGAATCTTCAGAGTCTTGATCTTCAGAACACGTCTTCAGAGTCTTTCTGCACCTGGTCTTCAGAGTCTTCAGCCTTCAGAACTTCAAGTCATCCGAGTCTTCAGAGTAGTTCTTCAGTGAACTATATCTTCAGACTCTTCAGAGTCTTGATCTTCAAAACACGTCTTCAGAGTCTTTCTGCACTTGGTCTTCAGAGCCTTCAGCCTTCAGAACTTCAAGTCATCAGAGTCTTCAGATCTTAGTTCTTCAGAGGACTCATTCTTTAGAGACGCTTGTTAGCTTCCAGATTATATGCACTTCTCAGAACAGAATCCACAGGAGCATTGCAACTACAATATCCAACATCCTTGGATCTTTCTGATCGTGATCAGATACAGACGCATACTTGCTTCTTCAACATGCTTTGTTTGCTTTCATATCAGATGCACTACTCAAAGCGGAATCCACAGGAGCATTGCAACTGCAATATCCAGCGTCCTTGGATCTCTCTGATCGTGATCAGATGCATAAGCAAACTAGCTTCTCCCATAAGCGCTTTATGATACGTCACACATAGTAACTCTCATATTGTATTAGTTACACACGTTGATGTTGTTTGTTTGATCTTATATATATTTAATTATCATGATCTGCACATAACAAACATTAGAACATAAATGGTTCTTTCACAAATACTTAATTGTTATCATCAAAACATAGAGATAATCCTGGAGAGACAAATCTTGCTCTTACAATCTCCCCCTTTTTGACGATGACAAAAACCAGTATTTTGATAGAACATTTTATACAGGGTAATCACCAAGCATTAACATATTCAGAGTTTCAAGCAACAACTCCCCCTGAATGTGTTAACCTTAAAAAATCTTTTATGCTTGTTCAGAGGCTATCTCTGATCCCAAGACTCACAAAAAGGAAATATTTAATAAAAAAATGAATAGAAGAGAAGGAATACTTCACTACGATATAAGAGAGCATAAGTCTTTAGCATCTGGACTAGTTCAGCAGAACTTCCATTTTCAGATCTTTAGAACTTGTTTTCTCTAAACATCGTATCAGAGCCATATATCTTCAGAGCCTTCTAAAGTATTTGCACATTTTTCTTCAAATGATAAGCTCTCCCTGAGTTTCAGACTGGGTGAAAATTAAATATTCTGACTTGTGAACCTTTCTGGGTGAACTCCCCCTGGCTACAATATGTCAGATATTTAGATCTTCAGAACTCCCCCTGAATCTGATACTAGTTCTTGATTCTGAGTCTGAGACCAAATCTTGCTTCAGAGTTCATTCATTTGACCTGTCTTTAGAATGCCTAGTGAACTTGTTCAGAGTTCCTCGGTAAAACATCAAACATACAGTTAGTAATAAACGCAGTTTATATCAGAGTTGATGTTTTGCATTCTCTTTAGGTTATATCAAAATCAGTTTTCTTTCTCCCCCCTTTTGACATCATCAAAAAAGGTGATTTTTTCATTAAAAAACAAGATTTGAATTTCTTCTATTTCTCCCTCTCTTATATTCTATTTCGCATTAACAAAGATTTAAATAAGTAGAATCAAGAAATAAAACCTGAGGGCCTCATTCTTATAGGTTGTCATCTTTTCCAGAATTTGTTGAAGCATGTACTGAATATAGTTGTTGACAAGCTTCAGTTACCAATTGAGAGTGTGAGAGGATGTTGACAGAAATCTGTTGCCAATTGAGGGTGAGATACCAACTGAAGGGTGTGAGAAGATTCTCTTCAGCACAGCTTTCTCTGACAACTTGTTAATTTCCTTCATGGCTTTCTGATACCAACTCAAGGTGAGAAAAAATTATTTTCAGCTCAGCTTTCTCTGACAACTTGTTGATCTTCTTGAATCTCACTAACTTCACGTTCTCAACGTACAAAAGTAGTTTCAGAAGAAGAACCAACTACAGCAACTTGCTTATCCTTCTCAACATCTTCTGCTTCTTGTACCACTCTGACAATTCTTGTTCTGGAATCTTCCTTTGCTAGAATCCTTACTTCTTCAACAGCTCCCAACAAGAAGTTTGAAGTTTCTTAATCTTTCTAGCTTTGTCTTCTCTTTCCTTGACCAACTGAACTTCAACTTCTATTGACTTGACACGCGTCTAGATTCAAAGTTTAACCACTTCTGAAAAACGTCCCAGAAGGTCTTAATCTGCAGAGGATGAAGGTTCAAAGGTTATAATGATTTCAGAAGTATGAGGGAGTTTTGCATCTGATGGATCAGTAGAGGAATTAGATGATGTTTCATGTTCAGAGGGATTTGCATCATTTGGTTGCATCGTCTGATACCATGTAGACGTTGATACCAACAGAAGGTGTAGTAAATGATGAAACCATATTCCCTTTTAACAGATCATATGCAGATGATGAGAGGAGCTTTCAGAGACAAAACTTTCACTTTTCAAAAAGCTCATATACCAATTGAAATTCTGAGATCTTCAGGGTTATTCTTTTTCTGACATTATACCAATTGAAGATAATGACATTGGCAGCTACTCTTCTTTTGATCAGCATTTTTTCAAAGGAAACAAATAAGTAAATTAATTCTTCATCAGATCCTCTGACGATGTTCCAT